CGATTACCGTATATACAGTGAATTTTCTCCATTCTATCTTATTATAGATATTAATTGAAATACAAATGTTTGTTTTTCAGAGCATCTGTTCACGAGAATATAGCACCGTTTTGTAATATAGTCATAGATGAAGATGGAAACAAGGAAGTAGTTCCCTTTCGCGACAGCGAACTTAAAAAATACCAAATTATTGTATCAACTTTAGTGCGTGCTGGAAAATATAACAGGTAAGAAAAAATATCAAAGTATAATCTCGCAATTATAAATTATAAAATTCGTTCAAAGAATTCATTTTAAGAGTCCATTTCACTAGTCCGAAAAAGTAGTAAAATAAGCGTTCGGCATTTAACGTTTTATGTAGAACTGGATAGGTATTTTTACACAAATGAAGAAGGAAATTAAAGATAAAGGATTATACTACATCCGTATTGTAGCACATTTTTAGACAACTTCTTTATTTTTAAGATTTTGATGGTCAAAGGTCAACAAAATATACCTTATGTTTGGACCAAATTTTCTCGAAAATAATGACATAATTTAAAATTCCGTTAGAATACGGAAATAGATTGAAGTTTCGTGATTACAGTGATATATAATTGATATGGTTTTGTAACAAATTGCTCGCTATTTTATGGCAAATGCTGAAGCTATGCAAACCTTAATCAAAGCACGTGTGTTTGGAAATTTTGGTGTAGCTTAACACGACAGGATCGGGCTAAGCCTTAGGCAGATTTTTGAAATATAATATATATTTCCTTCAGCCACACACCCTTTACCCGACCCCTGAGACCGACACGAAAGTACAGTGTAATAGACTCTTAATAATGTGAATATAGGAGCCATAGATATCACAAATAAATAAATAACTTATAGTTAATAAGTTCTACCGGTGTTAGATAATCTTGATTGATACTGAAATATTACGTTGCATTTTTTAGGTTTATCTTAGTGATGGGCAAAACTGTTATTTTTAGATAACAGTTGAAACTGTTATGGTTATTTATAAAAAACAGCTTAAAAATAACAGATTTCTTTATTTTATTGCTAAATATCTGAAAGAGTATGAGGCGGTCACCGCCAGGCGTATTAACGCAGTTGCAAATTGCAACAATGACGTGCTGGGTGGTAGTATTTCCAGGGTGTCAAAACATTTCTAAATATCGATTGTTATCTAAAATACCTCTCTAAAAACGGTCGTTGTTTACAAATAAGCGCTGTTTACAAATTGCGATATAAAAAAAGCCAAAATGCTCATCTATACCTATACATTCCGATCTACCTACGCCCTGCCCCTCGATTCGCGTAGATCCTGAATTGTATAGCAGTGTACAGAGTGCATCTCACTCGACGGGCGAGAAGCTCTTAGTTATGATTTTACCATTTGCGGTCAAAAAATAGCAATATAAGAAAATGTGTAGTATATTCTTCATAAGTAAACCAACTACACACTAGAGTTCGAATTAATTTTACACTTAAACTAGCGTGTACCCGCATTACTAGTTACCGAATTAATAGTTTGTAATGGTGATGATAAAACAAAGCAAGAATTTCCATTAAGATACAAACTGGATAAAATTTTCTCACATTTGCCAAAAATAAGCTTTAAACGTCGAGCAGTTTAAGCGGAATCGTGGTTAATCAATTACTCAACTTTTTGGAACACCCTGTATGATTTTTTAAAAAATTTCAAAATATGTAAAAAAAAAACAAATAAATTATGCGTGTCCAAGCGTTTTCCCGAAATACTAACCGTTTTTAAATAACAAATATTGTAAGTTATAGTTTAAGCAGAATCGTGATTACTCAATGGTCATATTTTATGAAACACCCTGTATATATTTTAAAAATCTTAAAATATGTAAAACAACAAAATAAAATATACGCCTTTAAGAGTTTTTCGAAAATCATCGGTTTTTAAATAAAAATATTCTAATATTTGAGGGTGGTTTCCCCCTTAGAATTCGAGTTTCGAAAAATCCCTTCTTATCGAACCTCTACACCCTAAAGTCGATCGGTTTTCTAAAGATCAGCTTTTTACGTCAAGGGCTTTAAGCAGGATCGTGATTAATCAATGACCAGATTTTTCAAAACACCCTGTACACATTTTTAAAAAATCTTAAAATATTCTGAAAAGTTTTCACAATAAATAAATACCTAAATAATTGAAACTTAATAACGTACTGAAACATACAGCGCCATAATATCTCGACCTCCGCCCATTATGCTCGTAACAGGTTGAAAAACAATGTATTTAAAACAACTGATGCGTTATTCTCCAACCTGTTTCGAACCTCCATCGACAATCGACCGATGCCGCAGCGTTCCTTTCCCACTCCTGTTATCTCGACCGCCAGACGTTATGCCCGCAACTGTTTCAAAAAGCTGCTTCTTTTATATCCTATTATTTTAAGCTGTTGCAAGCCCGACCATCGACGGCATCGACCGATGCAGCTACGTTCGTCGCGCTGCGCTGTAGCGCATACCCCACTCCGTTGTCCGTTGTATCTCGCCGCCTGTATCGATGGTTGTCGAAATAACATGTTTTCCATCTTAGTTGTTTTTTAGAATTGCTTCGAGCAGCATCGAATTTCGTGGCGGTGCAGAGCGCCGACTTCGTTTCACGAAGGTCGATCTCTGCGTGTCGTTATTTATATCTGTTATTTTTTATAAGTAGTAACGGTTGTGTGTTATGTTATTTCTAAATAATTGTTATAAAATAACAGATAGTTAAATAACAACCCATCACTAGTTTATCTACTATAATAGAGTGTTTTTTACCTTCATAATAGCGTGTTTTTTTACATTTTATTTATTTTTAGGATACACCATCCTGACGTGGTGTTTATCGATGAGGCTGCTCAAGCTCGAGAGCCTGAGGCTTGTTGCGCCATTGCTCTCTTAAAGAAAGGCAAACAACTGATCCTTGCCGGTGACCCGAAGCAATTGGGCCCTGTAATACATTCGGATCTGTGCAAAGAATACAAATATGGTAAGTATATTTCACTATCAAATATGTGCAAAATCCTTTTTCTAACCTTGGTTACAGTTTTCTGTTCTATTTCTATGGGTTGCCTGAAATTTTTATTATTACGGAACACGTTTCCTGAAAAATATCTGTCATTATTGTCATAAAATTAACCAATGCGAAAAAGCCCTATAGTCTGTCCAACGACAAGATCCTTGACAGTGATAGGTGTGTCTGTCATTTTAATTTTTCAAAGTAGTTTATTTTATTTTACAAAGAAATAAGTTGGTACAACTGGAACGCATAGCAGGAAATTAATATACTTAAAATTTGACTGATAAGTGATTACTTCAAAATATTGTAAAAAAAATGTATGAAACTGAAAAAATGTAATCGAGTTATTTTATTAAAAAAAACGGTATGTGTTAATACAAAACAAACAAGAACAAAACACCACTTACCAAAAAAATATAAAAAAGACTATGTATTTTCATGCTTTCATTACTTTTTTACATGAAGAAACTTCCCGCGTCTTATTATATTTATCAATATAACTTATGTACAAATACAAATTTGTAATATTCCACAGGAATAAATAAAACAACATAAATAAAACAAACTATTTTATTAATAATAACACTTACCAAATTTTATACCTTAAAGGTTGATTAATTAACTTTAATCTTCGTTCAAAATATTCTAATAAAGTTGCGATGAGTTTTTTACGGCTATTGAGCTGTCTCATACACTTCGCACTAAAAGAGGTTCTAAAAAGGACAATGTTCGACTGCAAGGTCTGCTAGTAAATATTCTTAAGCTTAAAGTATCGCAACAATATTTATTTAAACCAAAAACTCGTAATACAAAACTAAAGTATCAAAATGAATGACAAATATCAGGAAACAAATAAATAAATGCGGCAACTTGACATTTTTTACAGCAGATCTACCACTTGAATCCCCAGCGCGAAATTTAAATTCCAGTTAGTCAGCCTGGCGCCAAATATCACCATGGTTGGCAACAATGAATTTAAAAATTGCGCCCTCGCGTAAATTAAGTAACTAAAAATTTAATTGATATCAAATATGTGTAACTATCTCTCATCGACATTGCCATAACAAAAATGATAAGAAACATGCATATAAATTTACAATAGTAACTGGATAACACTTAAAAATACAGGGTGTCCCATAAATAAGTGCAAGTATTTTAACTGGTAATATAGTTTAACCCCAGAAACAAGCCTATGAGGTTTTTTCGCGAAAGAAAAATAAAAATTCGAAATTTTTTTAAAAAAATGTTGGAAATTTTTTTAGTTTTTAATTAAAAAAGATGATTTCTTGATAATATGGCAACATAGGTATAAGATTAAATTTACAATAAAGAAAATCCAGTATTTCTCAAAATTTTATCAAAAAATCATTTTTTTGGAAATTTTTAAAGTAAAATAACTCCGTTATTTTGGTGTTATTTGTAAAACGATAAAGAGAAAATATGTCTCTTTTATCGAGATCTACCACCCCTTAAAATACTTGCACTTATTTCTGGACGCCCTGTATAAAAAATATGTTATTTTTTATTTCAGTGTTATAATTTAATTTTCTTTTATTTAGATGTATCAATATTGGAACGAATGATGGAATTCCCCATTTACCAGAACAACACCAATTATTTGTCTATGTTGAAACTAAATTTCAGGTCTCACCCTGATATATTGAGTTTCTCAAATAAATTTTTCTACGATAATCATTTGAAGGTAAGCAACATATACTTGATACTAAGTTTAAAAATACACATGCCAATCTAATCTTGTAAAATTTAACATGCACACTTGTGGAAACTCATCTCTGGTTTGATTAAAATTTTTATTTTTCTTAACTTTAGCCAGTGTCTCGGCAAGCGCTGAACGATCCTTTGAGCAAAATGAGCATCTACGAATACATTGTACACGAGAAGAAGGTTGGAATCTATGGTGGCTCTGCAGTGGAATTTTGCGCCGTTCTTGCCAAAGAACAGAGAGAAGGCAGGTCTCCTAGGTAAGCGTTCTTTTTATCTATCATTTACCGTCCGAAAAAGCCTCCTATCTGTGATTATCTTCTAACTGAATTATGTCTAGGAGAGGGGAAATAGTCGGGAAATAGAGTTTGGGAAATAACATTTGTAATTAAAATTATGGTATCTATGAAAAAATAGAATAAACCAATAAGTTTAGTAAAACAAAATCTTGTAATCTTGTAATGTTGCCAAATATTATGTAGATGATACAAAAATTTATTACTATATGCGTTATTATTTTGACATCGTTTGTTATACTCAATTGCAATTTAGCCTGTGTTTGGTACTTGGTATTCTCAATATATTAAGTTGAGTACGGTAATCGCAAAACATTTTTCAATGCACGTCATCAATCATGTCGAAATTGACACTAAAGCCTATAAACTTGACTAAATGAAATTTTGACAAAAATGTTTAAATTTCTTGTACTTATAATAGGAGGGGCGGCTGACACTTGCTTGGGATCATCCTCCACAAGTGGTACACAAGCTACCACCTTCTCCAGCAAGGGTCGGAAGCCTACCTCTAGACCCAATAAGCGACATAAGCTACCGTTTCGTCTACCCGGCCTGGGTCAACCAGGCGAGCTAGACGATCCTCTGAGAGTAGGTCTTAGCGGAGCAGAAGCACGGAGATACCTCCGACTGCTCCACGAAGGACTTGCTCCAGAGGAAGCAAAAGCGAAAACACTCCTCCAAAAAGGGAGGAGTGTTGACTGACTCATCAAAGAGCGAGAGAGGGAGCGAGAAATTCTCACCTCTTCTCCGGCAGGATGGAAAGCCGTCCAACACCGGGAGGCAAGCAGGGACGTATCACCAGCTTTGCCGCTATTGCTGGACAAGTGAAAATGGCGGTGCTGGCGTGCTGCCAAAGGATTTCCCAGAGGTTGCTCTGACCATCGACCAACAAACGTCTTTAGAAGAGGCTATACTGGACGAAATAGTGGCGATCGGATCGCAACACAACGATCTACAAAATGTGGGTCAGCTGCGTTTTGCGGGGATACACTTTCGGGTGGGCATGACCCTCATAGATTGTGTATCTCAAGAATCAGCGAATTGGTTGAGGGAAATCGCATCGAAGCTTAAAAATTGGCAAGGGCCGGAACTGGTTGCAGTGAAGGGAGAAAACATCTGCCGGAACTGGTTGCAGGGCAAGGGGAAAGACACCACCTGCCCTGCTGAGCCTTATCCAAGGTCAGAACTTCAATGTAAGAACATCGAGTTGGCGAGTCAAATCCAAGGAGGCAATAGAGGAAGAGGCACATATCCTCTATTATAGATACTGGACAACACCAGTATCAGGTCTAAGGAGAGACCAAGTGAAAGAGGTGGAGAAAATGGAGACAGATCCTCGAGCCTCCACCACACGGGTTCCTCAGCCGGAGGCAAGCTCCTCGACTGTGAAGAGCGGCACGGAGGGCAAAACTCCAACCGTTGAAGGGTGTGTACCGTCGGAGAAAGAACTGTTGGCAGAGGAGGATGGGAAATACCCTGTCCCCTCTACAACAGGGGTATGATGGATTATAGATTGTGACATGACTCAAGGAAGGGGAACACAATAGATCTCTTTAAGGTCGCAGTGATTAACCCCCTCCCCCCTCTTACTCATTCTACATTCTGTACTTATAATTTAAGATACCGAGCAGCTCCTCATTTTAGTTTATAGAGCAAATGATTGTAACAGATATTTTATTTAGATTAAAGGTGCAAAAATTAGTTTAAAGCGATTTTTATTATCGCCATGTTGGTCACGCAGATCTTTTAAGAAAAATGTGTTTTTGTATTGCATTTGTTGAAATTGTGTCTTGAAAATATGCCAAAGCATTTAAACAGTCGAAGGAAACAGCATCTTGCTTTCCTGCTAAACTATTTTGAACAACCTTGACTGAAGTCAGAGAAGTAAGTTTGATTGTTAGTTTAAAGTATTAAAATTAATTTGGTAGTACCGTTATACCACTTTCAAAGTTATTTCTACTTATTTCGATTTGTAGCGAGTAGCTGCAGCCTTTAATTTAAATATTTGTACCGTGAGTGTTAGTAACTACTGTTAATAAATAAATTAATTACTAAAATATTAATTATTAAATTAAAAATAAAACATAGAAATCTTTAAAAAATGATATAATAAATATATTGTTTCTCAATTTTACATTAAGATTTACCTCATAAATCCATCACAATTTGGCAGCGCTATAGCCATCGCAAAGTTGATCACGTGCATCGGAAATTGTTTTGCTATTACTTTACTTAAAAGTTCCTATATTGGGCAACGGCCTAGCTACATCGAAACACCGGTTCCCATTAGAACACCGAAGTTAAGCGACGTAAGGCGATACTAGTGGATGGACGGGTGACCGGTTCGAAACTCTGTATCGTGCTGTTCCGTCGTCCAAAAAAGGCAAAAGTGTAAAATCTATTGACACACATTGCTCATTCACGCCGGTTCGAGACCGGATGAGATCGGATATCTCGTGAGTAAGAGTCGATTTAAACATTTGCCAAGTCGGTAGGCCATTGACCATGATATGGCCGAGGACCGCGGTTCGGATTCCGCTTAAACAAAGTAGGCCCCGTCCAGATTAGCCCTGGCAGCAAAAAGGAGACGTTAACTGAAATCTTTACTTTACTTTTTAAAAATTCCTATAAAATAGATATCGTTGTTTTCCCCTTATCTGTCATATACTATCATGTCAATTTAACTTGGGCTTATGTAATTACTGAGTGTTTTTGGTGTTAATGAGGATATCTCTAGATTTCATAGTTTGCCCACAGCTTTTTTATACTATAAGTTTGTTTTATTTCCATTTCCAGCTATTTCAACGAACGAGAAATCCTGTTGGTGCTGAAATTCGTCCAAGCTTTAGTTTCACTCAAGTTCGACAAGTCCGAACACAGGGTAAATCCCGATGAAATTGGAGTAGTAACACCTTATATCAGACAGGTATGTTTCTTACCTAGATATCTACTATCATAGATATAGTCAAAATCATAGACTCCCGAAAGATCACAATTGAGTCTAAATATTCTAAAAAAACTCCTAATTTTTAGGTGTACAAAATTCGAGATACTCTAGCTCGTCACGGTTTTGATCAAATCGACGTGGGAACCACAGAAGCCTTCCAAGGCAGAGAGAAACGCGTCATAATAATGTCAACCGTACGAGCGCAAGAAGATCTGCTTTTGGTTGATAAAAAGTACAAACTGGGTTTCGTCAAAGATGATAAGGTATGCACGCGTTACTACATACCGCGTTGGCAAGCTTCGTTCTTGGGTCGGTATTTACATGTGTAGAAGTGAATCGCTTATAAATTTGGAGAGAGAAAAATGCGGCGGTGTTTGTACGCTGAGTTTTTGCGGCGTTGCCACAATTAACGGAGATACAGAATACAGCTGTATTCTGTATCTCCGTATAAAAAAACTTAATAATATAAATAAAAAAACTTATAGAAATTAGCGAATATAATTTCTATAAGTTTTTTTTCGGAAATATAACTAGATAAAACATATACCATATCATTAGATATGTTAGATCTTTTACAAGATGTTTAAATAAGAAAAATTCGATAGGCTTGTTTTTATTTATAAAGATTTTTAACATACTGTCTGCGAAAAAAATATAGCAGAATTCAGAGTACTAATAGCGCGACCACTGTCGAACACCAACTCAATTCCACTTATTTTTACCAAAAGTGCAAGTGTTTCTAACTTGCACTTAAAAATTTACAAGCTGTAGGGAAAATTACGACTCGTTAATAAGTAAACAAATAAATTATCACGACACGTAATTAAATCGTGAAGCTGTACGCATATCTATATCCCCTTCCACGTAGCAATGTGCACAGTTTCTCGGTTTATTTCATACGTTTGGCAACGTTTTTACTGTTCTCTCTTTGTTCAGTACATTATAAACGCATCGTACTCTTCTTACAGACGAAAATCTCGACCCAAGACTGACCTTTGCCAGCCCTTAGTATGCGACTATCATCAGTTTTTATTATTTTGCAGAGGTTTAATGTGGCTGTGACAAGAGCCAAATCCAAGCTGATATTAATAGGCAACCCGAACGTGCTGAGCACCGACAAAAAGTTCAGGGAAGTCATCAGGTACACAAGAAGCGAAAATACTTGTTGTGGTGCCCCGTTCAAGGACAGAACTAACAAAGTACGCGACGATATCGTCAGCAAAATGCAAAATCTCAAGTTGAGAGACAGCAAACCGCCTTCAAATTAAGAATAGCTATCTATATAGTTTGCCAAAAAGTTTGTTACAAATCGGATTTTTTTTTATTATCGAGTTATCTCTACTAAAAGTCATAATCTCCAAATACCAATGTGTCTTTTGATATCATAAAGACTATTGTCTAGGTCATGTTTCCGATCTTAGCCCTAACAATAACATTAGGCCTCATCTCAAGAATATGAGCAAGACATCGATCTTAACATTAGCCTTACTTCTAACACAATAGGAAAGAATTTTAACTTTCAAGAAAAAAAATAAACGGTTTACACTTTTGAAAATTGGAAGAAATATTCTATATGACTTTTTACATAGATAAAAAGGAAACAAGTTTAGATTGGAAAGTGCCCATAAGGACAGTGTAAATACTATTTGGCGTACAACGGTCGCTCTCCAAAGCTTTTGATAATTTCGGAGCGGTTCGGCTTTTTCCGGAATTATGTCGCCAAATATTTATTCAAATTTATTTTCTTTTAATTTTTTAAATAAAATACAGCGTGTTGCATATAAGAAACTTTATTTTTTATAAGGATATGTATGAAATACCTACGAAACATTGGAAACCGACGTTATGCCACGATCCATGATGATTTTTGTAGTTCGCACAGTTTTTTTTTAAGTTTTTAATGCCACTGTTTCACAATTATCTCGGGTTTGAGTAAATAAAATTTAAATTAAACTCACAAGATAGCAATAATTACTTTGAAATTGGATGCTGTAAACACTTTTCGACATTTTTTTCAATGAGGGCAGTTTAAATTTTGAAAGATTCTATAATTTTTGAAGATTCTGACTTTGGCAAGTGAAATTATTTCTGTTCTTGTTTACGGTTGTTCTTAGCAACCGCTAGAGCAGCGCCAGATCCCGTACAACGTATGCACCCCAAAACAATTAAGTTTTGGCGGCAAGCCGAGCATTCCAATCACTTATTTACTTTTCACTTATTTACAGGGTATTTTTGAGGTTATGCTGAATTAATTGAATTGCTACTGTTGATGGATTATTTTAAAAACTCAATAAGAAAAAATCCTATTTGTATCAGACTTTCTGTCAAACATTGTATGTTACCATTTCAACCGATGCTCTTCATATAGATATTGTATAAATAAAAATAAGAAATTAGGTATTTTATATGTACATTTTAGTCCAATTCAACATAATAAAAAAAAACGTATATGCACGTAAATACGAATAAGTAAACCATAAAACTGCTTTTTTTTAATTCTCCATTGTCTGTTATAGTACACAGGGAAATACTAAAAGGACAAAATTTAAAAAAACGATTTCATGGCTTACTTAATTATATTTATTATCATATTGAACAGAAATTTATATTTTTGATTAAAAAATATCACCGCAGTGGCCATTCATAGAATTTACATTCTCAGGGTTTTCCTCAAATTTTCCAAATATAATAAGTGCCATATGGTCGAAAAAATCGCTCACATGCAAACCCCAGAGGCTAAAAAGTAATTTCAAAGGGTACTATGATGCATTTTTTTTTCGACCATAGAGTATTAATTTTAAACTAATTTGATATGGATCACATGGTAGGTTTTTCTGATATATTTTACAATTTATGTATTAAATCAATATTTTCTCATAAGCATTAATAGATTATACAGTTACTGTCAAAAGTACACAACAGGATTTTATATATATTGAATTTTTGGATCACTCTATACAATAAACAATAATCTGGAATTAATTAGTACAAACATACTGGTGCATGACATACAATTATTAGCTTAAGGAGAGTAATGTGTAAGTCTATTTTCAAAATTAGCAGAAATCAAAAATTTTATTTTTGTCGGTCTAGAGTGAGATTGTCGAGTGCTGTGTTAGGTTTATTAAACTTTAGATTTTAAGCTAATATGGAACTTAGAATTTAAGCTTTTTTACAGGATTAGAAGGTAAGCTATAGTGTTAATAGTAGTGTCATTTTTGATTCATAACCTTAGTTGAAGAGTTACTTTGGGTTAAGGCTCATAAATGCCAATTTTTTTGATGAAAAAAAATATTTTTTAGATAATCTAACCCTATTTTTTATATATTAACGCAATGACAGTTGTCACGTCACATGTGTAAAGAATTTTCAGCGATTTTTCAACGTTACGTCATCATTATTAGTCAATTATGCGCTTTAGAGCATGTTTGAGACCAGTTGATGTTAAATTATTAATTGAGCGAGTTCCATTTTTTTTTCGGCATTTATTCACTTTGATCGTGTTTCAGTGGCAGCTTTCTCCAGCTAAATCGTACAAATAATATTAAAAAAAACATATGTAAAGAGGTCTATACCATATGAAAGATCCAGGGGAAAAACTTGATAAGCGTCAATTTCTTAATTTTAGTATTTTATAGAAAACGAATAAACTCTGCAGGGCAATATTAAAGTTAAATCCTACGCTATATGCCTAGTAAAAATAAAGAATACACGGCAAGAACCTGATAACTACCAGCCGTCCAGTGCTCTCCTGTAAAGTCGGTGAAATGGCGCTTATCATATTTTTCCTTTGGATCCTTCATATATTCTTTAATGGTCTATAATTTGAGACCTCCAAAAAAGTAAATCATTCATTGTACTTAGAAGAAATAGAACAACGTAAAAGTAAAACTGCTTGTGATGTGATTTTGTATGACAGCACAATCGATTTCTATTTTGATATTGATTGATGATCGTCGATAAAATTATAAACCTAAATCCATTGAATAAAGAATAAAAAGGAAGGAGGCTTTCTATATTTCACCTACAGAAGAAACGGGGACGGAAGTCGCCATATTGGAAAACCTCTGATGACAGTCGTTGGTTCACGTCGGACATGCATAGGCGTAACAACAAGGGGGCCCGGAGGTACAGGGCCCATCCTCGTTCTTTTTTTTTGAGATAGATTTTTTGAATTCTCCTCTGTGATTTTGACTATTATTTACTATTTACATACGTTGACAAGATTGACGCAAAACGCCCCATAACCCATTCCACTTGAGTTTATCATTGTAATGGTGCGTTTAGACTTGAGCACGCACGAGCTGAGCGTGCGCGCACGGCATTCGTTCGCGCTCTCGGCTCCGTTCAAATTAAAAACTTATTTTTCGACGAATGAAGTGATCCATTTGTGCGCGCACAGCTGAGTTGTGTTGGCGAAAATAATGGCGAAAAAATTGTGTTGGCGAAAATAAAAATCGAAAACATCGTCGCTGGTGGCAAACCCAAATTTTTAGAAATCGATATAATTTACTGCAACAACTTAGTATCTGAGGAGGGCTATGATCAGTTCAAAAACTTTACAAGAATGACCAGACCCGACTTTGAATATTTAAAATAACATCAAAAATTACGAACAAAAGATACAAATTTTAGAATAGCAATCGACATATTCAATATTAATTTTATTTACAAGATCTTGCCATGCGTTTTTTTTATTTTTTTAATAATAAAAAAATGTTTAACATCCCATAATATAGGCAACTTTTCATATTCTTCAATTAATAATAACGAAAATTCATTGATCCACTCCATAATTTTAATAAAGAAAACGAAAAAAAATTACACACGCACGCACGAACGCAGACAAAACAAATTGCCGGTGCAAACTGAGGGTTCGCGCACATATAAAATCCCTTTGAACACGGACCAAAATCCGACACCACACGGCTCACGTTCGCGGCTGCTCGCGCAGACAGATTCAGAGTGAGCATGCGCGCACAGCCGTTTACACTTGAGCATTCGCGGAGGATCAGTGCGTGCGTGCTCAAGTCTAAACGCACCATAACGCTCGGAAGCAAGTGGAACTGGAAAAATCGCGATCATGAGCGTGAACGTTATGAGTGTTTAGTGGAACGTACTCTTAGTTATCAAGTGGTAGAGTACGACAATATATGACTTAACTTTGAATGATCGCTGAGCGTTCTTTAAATAATAGATTATCATTCAACAGGTTAAAGAATCATTATGAAAAACACATTACTAACAACACTGAAATTAAGTTGAACTCTGTATGGTTCAAACATTAACCTTGATTTTGAGTATACCTGTCCACCTGGAAGTCTGTCCAGGGAGCGGATCCATGACAGTGACAGCTGTGTGTCATTTTTTGACTCATTGGATAGACTGTACCTAAACTTTATTGTACCGTTTTTATTTTAAATGTATCTCAATTTTGTACTTTAAATTATTCTTCCATTGCTACAGCTAAAAGTTTTATACAGAGTTACAAGATAAAAAAAAGTGATCAAACAATGATAAAATGAAAGATCTTGATATATAAATTCATGCTGGCATGAAACATGATACAGCTTTCTATAAATATTCCATCGTACTATTTAGTAATTGACTTTATATTTTTAACAGGGTATAAGAACTAACACAAGTTATATGGGTTTTAAGTTCAAAATAATTTAGTTGACTTAACTATCAGCAATATTTTAATCGGGTATAGTGTTTAAATAATCTTAATTTATTTTAGAACACTCAAAATAGTGTTCTAGAAACATTATATCAGTTCTGTAACCTAACTTTTCCATTCATTTTATTAGTTTTCTTTTGTACAGGTAACGTTAAAACAATGTACATACAATAAATACCAAAGGCCAATAAACTTCTGACTTTACTAAAATCAAAATTATAGCATTGTTTTCGTTTTATTTCTCCTCTACTTTAAGTTGTTTTATTTTTTGTTTATTATTTTAGTATTTTGTGTTTTATTTGAGAGTTAGATTATAAGCTCTTGTAGTTTTAAAGCTATTTTTAAGATATGTTTATATTTTAGATATGATGTTTATTAAAAAATGTACAAAACCATGTCTTTTTATGTGTAATTCTATTGCAGTATTGTGGGAAAGCCTAAAGAAAAACTACATATATGTATACGATTTTTATAATAAACATTTTATTTTATATACATTTCAGAGAAACGAATCTTAATTACTAAATTATTTAATACACCATCATGATCGATTGTATCGATAAATATATTTTTTACAATATCCTGTAAAAAGTATAGCGATTCAATAAAAATAAATTAAAGTTAAAGATATAGCATAATAAAAAAATGTTAAAATTAAATCAATGTCTGAGATTTTGCCTTTGCTTATCAACGCTTTCAGATGGAGCGGAGCGTCCGCGACTTCGAGCAAATACCATGAGTTTATATGAACAATTTCACATGGGCGCGTATGCTCCGTCCGACGGCTATCTTGAAAAAAACACGACGGACGGTCCGTTCCATCTGAAAGCGCTGTAACTTTAAACGTTCTTAAAAATTAATTATTATATAAATTGTAAAATTACATAAGATCACGCCGATTTTTGGAAAGATACAAACACAATGCGTGGTATTTTCTGTCAATTATCGTTCTCTTTAAATCTATAATTTTAATGTTGAATTAAAAAATAATAATAATAAAGAAATAATTTAACGCCCCGTAGATATTAATGGGACAATATGTCGTGATGGATGAAAATATGGTTACAGTAGTCTTGGAAGAATGGCATTTTAGTCTGAGCTTTTTATTATGTTAATCAATAAGTTATTTGACAGTTAATCCCAAGTTATTTGAAGCCCTTTAAAGTATTTCATTTGCTGTCCTCCATTTGCGAACTTCGAGTTCCGGGCTTTACGCCCTGGGGCTACTCGAGAACGGTTCTGAAAGGAGCTGTGCGCGATAACCTGGTGCCTCCATACGACGCGGAACGATTCTGAACTTTATGACTCAAATGAATGGAGGGAGAGTATCGCGTTCTTGAACAGTTCGGAGCTGCTCAACTGCGTGAAAGGAGGACAGCAATTGCCAGACTTAGTAAAGCTCGAACTAGATTAGATATATGAATTACAGCGCACTTGGCTTAATATGTACACAAGATATACATAAAACCATGTTTTTGCTGAACTGTTGGCGTGCTGTCCCTTTTTATATATTTAAGCTTCATTCAGAACCTCGAAATCAGTGGAATAAATTAGTAGTTTCAATTAGCGTAGAAGTTTGTTCACCTAAGTTTAATGTAAGCATTCAAAACGTCATAATTAGTGGTAGTAATTTTCAATTAGTGGAAAAAGTTAACAAACTTTTGACTTTTCTACTAATTATACTTCAAAATTTGCGAGGAATGTCTTTTGGGCCTTTTTTTTGGCACACCCGTCAAGAAAAATTTTGGTTAGAAATTAAAAGTTGCTTGAAATATTTGCTTTCTCTATGAATACAACAGACTACCGCAAGCTGTTGCTAGGATATTCTATTAATTTTAATTGTGTTTTTTAGACATTGTGAATGATCGTAAACTAAAAAGTATAAAGTGTAATTGAAACCACTAATTTATTCCACTAATTGCGAGGTTCTGAATGAAGCTATACTGTGACGTACTTTTCATCATACGGTACCAATGAATAAAAAAACCAAGCTGGGTCAAATATTTTAGTCTGTTCAACAGGAATCATTTTTGTTAATATACTCCTTCTTTAGCCTTTTTATAGTGCATTCAGATGGAGCGGACCGTCCGCGACTTCGAGCAAGTACCATGAGTTTGCATGAACAATTTTACATGGTCCGGAGGTTTTCGTCTGACGGCTAACTTAAAAAAATCGACAAAGACGCTCCGCTTCATCTGACAGCGCTGTTAAACAATGTACGATATAAACGTTTATCTTAGCACCCAAGGTTTGTTTGCACTGTATCTGTACCCTAACCTATGGACTAAAATTAAGATATCTCGGACGTTTGACGTGTTACCGACCAAAATTGTCTTCATTTTACGTTCCTAGTCTCTGACTAGCCGGTAGCCTCTTCTTTCTTCGTCTGCCCGAATTTCCGTGCGTTGATAACCAGTGTTCGTAGTGTCTTTCGTTCGCTAACCAGTCCTGGTACTTGTACCACCATTCTTCCCACTTAACGTAGTCCTCCAAGGACAAGTCTCTTAAGTATCCTACGTAAAAAATAACAGAGTAAAAAAAAGACATATAGACAGAATAAGCTGTAATTTTTTAAATAAAGCAATAAAATAAGAAGTAAGCTGTAATTTTTGAAATAGGCGATCACATAGCAACACCCATGCCCCAGACTGGAATCGAACCAACAACCTTGTGTCTACTAGAGAGCAGAGCAATCATTTCGACCACAAGGCCGGCATAAGGTCGAGTTTACAGATTGACGGACTTCGAAAATCAATCAACGCTATTTCGTGGTGCCATAAAGGATGATTCACAGTACACCGGACCGCGCCCGAGCCGGGCACGTTCCGTGAAGTAGACACCGAGCCACGTCCGATCCTTCTGTATATGCAATACCGAGGTGATAACGGGGTTCGTATTAGTTCCGAGTATATTAGAAAACACAGCCCCATAGACACAGGAAGATTTAATACGAACAATGCCAAAGTTCTCGCAATTGGAATTGGTACCAATTGCAGTTGATGAATAAAGAACAACACCTGCAGGGGAAACACCTGCTCAAAGGAAAAGATGAAGGATCTATCTTGTTCATTACATCCTTTCATTCTCAAGTTTTACGCATACCCTGTCGTCAAATACTGCTGTAAGATTCACTAATACTTACTACAGACATGATAAAAAGTGTACTTTGTTTATATCATAACTGCAGATTGCAGTCGGGGCACCAGGAAAAGTACAATCATGCTTTCCGCAACGTGGCGGGAATGGAGCGAATCCGAGAAAAAAATGTACGCCGACATTTCTGGGACGGGGCACGGATGAGTTCCGGCGAAGCTCGGATCGTGCTCGGCCTGACATGAATGTATATGTGTAAAGAACACTTGACATTGTTTGGCCGTGTCTTCACCGACGCACGGCTCGGATCCGTTACGGTATAGCGTGAAGCATCCTTAACTCTAAATCAGCCAAACGTAAATGTCAAAATAACGTCTGCGCTAATCGCGGAATTGTGTCGGTACTGGACTTTGCCATATCTTTCTACTGAGCTGCATATTACTAATTCACTTACCTAAGTCTTTATAATATTGATACCGTACTCGAACATCGTCCCATGCGGCCATTCTAGGAGGCCCTGACGGAAGCAGTTCGTCTGGATAGTGACCAGCAGGTACGGGTGACAAACTGCAATAAAAATTTGTCAGTAAGATGCCAGAATAAGCGTCTATAGTCTTGTCATATAATCTTTCGACTACAATTTATTATTGTAAGACCAAGACCAGGGATTATAACAGTACAAGTTCTTAATGAAAAACTCCCTTAAAACATATAAAAAGTGAGGTTAGGTTACATAGATGTGAAAAATTATCATCCTTAATTACAGAAAAAGCGATGGAGAAAAGTTATTCAAAGGTGAATTTTCACTGAAAATTTACCTATATCTACGTGGCGGAGTTCCATACACAAACTCGTCCTCCTCTACCATAACCTTCATGTTAGTTCCCGTCTTAGTTATCCTCATGTTCTCTATATCTCTTCTTTCTCTATCTGCCGACCACTGAGCAATTTTACCGAACCTGCAAAATAATAAGAAAAAACGCCATTATACCAATATGGTTGTCTTAAATTTCTTTTAAATAATACCTTTCTGATAATGTCATGGTGGTTGTTGCTACGATAGGAACTGAGGCAGATATTCCACTGTCTTCTGATCCAGAAGAGTCTCCAGCTGCTGGAGATCCAGGACGTTTTCTTCTTGGCACGCCTTCTTTTTTAATTCGTCCTAGTAATGGCTAAGAAAAACAATGAAAATAATAAAACGATGTACTTAAACAGCCGTTAAACGGTAGCCTACTAAAATGCCGTTAATAGATATTGTGACGTCATTCATGTCGGCGGAAAGCATATATAATATTAACTAAAGCATGACTTAACTATTTGATATGTATATGGCGGAAAGTAATGCCTAGCTATAAGCATTTTACAAGAGCATCTGTGGCTCCGTGGCTGAGGCTATCGCTTCATGAGCGAATGGTCCGTGGTTCAAATCTCACGCCGACCAATACTTATATATATATATATATATATATATATATATTTTTTTTTTTGCTTATAGCGTGATCTTATTGCATTTGTTTCACTCTTTTTGGTTAGATTGGTTTAGTTATTTGGCGGATTGGTTAGTGTGGTTATTTGGAAGTTTTTTTTTCTCAATTTCTAGGAGCTACAGATGCCCGACGCACTATTACCGAACCCTGTATGTTTAATTTTTTAACGATTTTTTGATGATGACTAAAATGGAATAAATGGAAAAAAATTGGCATCAATGAATGGACGTAATTTGCTAACATTTTTTGAACCATAATTTGTTTTAATTTAAATTTGCTTTTGTAGAGTTAAACTAGACAACATTGATTTTTTATGTCCGTATTCCTATAGGCTGAGAATCATGCACGTAGAAATTATTTAACCAACAGGCAAAGGCGCGTAATACTCACCGCTTGACTGGAACCACTCCCCTTTTCCCCGCCTTTCGCCACGCCCGGTTTCGGCATCGGTCTAGGCGGCGGCGGCCGCGTCCTAGGATCCGTCGGCCTATCGCTGGCCGAATTCACCATGGGGCGTGGCATTTTCTTGGCGACGGGCGGGGTCATGGGGCGTGGCATTCTTCTAGGAGGCGGAGACGGCGACGGGGACGGTGGCCGCTGGCGAGAAGCTCCGGCTTTAGGCGCGGGCGGTTTGCGCATGCCGCTCGAGGCGGAAGGACGCGGAGGTGGCGAGAATGACCGTGATCTGCAAAATAATTTATATATTGTCAAGGTGTGTGTGGCGACATCTGTCGGAGAAGTGAATAACTGCAATGTGTACGAAATTGATTGAGACGCCATCTCTTAGCCAAGTAGAAAAACGAGTTCTATCTAGGCAGCAGAATTTACTGGTAGATGGCAGAAGGGTATTGAAAATTACCTAAAATTACAGATAATTTTTGAACGTTCCAGAAACAGCCTGTAGGATATATAAAAAGCCCGGGTTCGGCAGTTGAGCCAGTTTGAAGTTTGGAAAATACGGTTAAATTGTGAATCGTGACAGTTTGGCGAAGGATTTTATAAATAGTTAATTGTGTGTTGCAATCAGTATAAACTGTGTGTAGTATTTTATCGTTAGTTTAAATTAGTGGACCCACGGAATCCGTAACAATATATTAAATAAAAAAAAATAATTCCGAAAAACAGCTCCGATTCCAGAAATCCTAGTATCTTGTATACTAATGATAAATTGATTAAAACAATTTTCCTAATTAGGAGACTTACCTTGAACGACGTCTAGTTTTTGGGGAGCATACTGAGCAAGAATCATCAGAACAGCTGCTTAAACTACTCGCTGAAGCAGATCTTCTACCGCACCTGCCACTAAAACGTAAAATATATCTTAAGAAAGTTTGATTTACTAATAAAAATAGTCCCGAGTACAACAAAACGTGCAGCAAAGAAGGTTACAGAGTATTCTTTCGTCTTTTCCTTATTATACGCAAATTAATAAAATTGCGTTTATCTCATAACCGAAATCGACAAAATATGGAGATACAAATATACAACATCGATATACTATTATCGTTTCATGGTAGTACCTAGCCTTTAATGTTCGGAAATTTTTTTATAAAAATATAAAGTTTTGAAAAACCTTAAATTTATGATTTTTCAAAAGTGGAGCCAATCGATTAATGCAGTGAACGGCTCATATGTAGAAAGATTAAAGGTGATGAAATTTGCAGAGCTATCTTTTTTTACACGTTTTATTGCCGTTCCGGCGCTTGTACGTTTGATAAGACCCCGTTTCTCCAAACCAATCTAACTCAAACAATAACTCACCCTCTCCTAGGCGACGGCGGCGTCCTTGGCCTCCCTCCGCCTCCTCTATACCCGGCCGGTGGCGACAGCGCCCTCCTCGAGGGCGGAGATCGTGCGCGCGCGGGCGGACTTCGAGGACTGCGTGCTCCCCTGGGCGCGGGCGGCGAGCGACGACGCGGGGAACGGCCGAGAGCGCGACGCGGGGGCGGCGAACCGCGCCGGTCCGTGAAAGAACGCGAGCGGGAGCGGCGGGAGGAGGGCGGCGAGGAGGAACCGTCGATGTAGAGCGACTTGTAGCCGGAGTGACTCCATCTGGAAGTGAAAAATGGGTATGGTTAGCTTTTTTGTCATTTGTAACACTAATTTTAAACAGTTATATTTTTTAATTATAATTTAAGGATGAAGTTTTTTTTACTTGAAGTCGCTTATAAAAAAACAACAAAACATCGAGTATATAGAAGCCTCTCCAAACATAAAATCATAAAAAATTCTCTGTGTAAATACATCATTCTTTTTTTACTAACTGAAATCAGTTACATGAAAACGTGTTACTGCTGTACATTCTAAACATCTTTCTTATGTAGGTATAAACCTAATCGTATAATAGAAAAAAAAACGAAAATAATAAAAAATGAACCAACAAACCAAATCAAAACAAACCTAACCAAAGCAATCAAAACACGCTGTAAGCTAAAACGCGTCTGTTGACGAAGTCCAATTGCCGAGTACTTTTCAAATCTTGCTACATTTTACAATATTTTATCAATAAATGAAAATGGTACACTCCGAAGATTTTTTACGTGTCTATGTTTAAAAAAAACAAGAATAAAAAACAATTTCTAAACAAGAATGAAAAATAGAAATGCGTTTTTATGTAATTGGTTTCAGCTATTCTCAAGTTGAAAAATTTAAAATTATGCATTTCCGCAGAAAAATTATTGTGACTTACTATTTGGAAAGGCTTATTATAAGTACTAAATAAACAAATATTTCTTACATAATTGCATAAATAAGCAGAAACTATAAGCAATAACTGCATAATAGCATGTCAAATGTGTGGTTCTTTGTACTAGGCAATGATAAGCCACTGAAAAATGGCAATATAGAGAGATTTTTTTGAAAATGATAGGACTTGAGAATGTAACCTAGAGATCAGTAGAGAACTTCAATAGATAGCAGTCGATCGGGTCAGTAGCCACCTCAAAATTCTAATGTAATCTAATCTAAATATAATAATAAATAAGATAATCTTAACCTGTTAGGATCCTTGGCTTCAACCTCTAACAGCTTCTTGTCCCAGAAAGCTCCGGAAGAGGGCGAATTCTGCGCTCTGGCCTTCTTCATCACGTTGTCGATCTCCCTACGTCTTCCTGCCGGCAAGCTCGGATCTTCGAATACACAAATGCTCAACATCAGTCAAAACGAGAAAAATAAAGTATTGAGGCGCAGCTATTGCTCTATATCAGCTGGTTATATCTCTGGACGAATTCGCGAGTCACGTGACTCACCATTAATGAGCCACCCTATACAATATGACCCGTATACTTATTACAAAATTCCTCTCCAGAAACTATATCTATATAGGGTGTTCTTTAATGACATGCTAATATTTAAAGGGGCGATTCTTGGACGTATTAAAACCTACTACCTTGAACCTACTACTCTATGAAAAAAACTTTCTTAAAAAAATTTACCACCCTGTATCTAAAAAGTTAAGATACCTACGAAGTACATTCATAAGAAGTGTTTTTCTTAGAATAGACGCAAGAAGCATCCCCTTAACTATTAGTATGCCATTAAGTAACACCCTGTATACAGGGTGGTCCGAACTGTATCCCGGAAACATCGGCAGCATATTTTGCAGATAAAAATAAGTAAAAAACTTCGTAAAAATGTATGTCCTAAAGGGCTTAGTTTCGGAGATACAGGGTGTAGAAGTTTCATGTTTATTTCAATTTTTCCCAAATAATTTCTCAAGTAACGTCAATATTTGGATGAAAATTGATGTCTGGGAGTTTTTTGACATGAGAAATTTGATTTTTATGTCAATATGACTCCTATTTGTAGGGGGCGCCACCTACATGTGTTTTAACAGTTTTGAAGACTAATAACTTTTCGTCCATACCTGTATAAAACTACTGAGTGAAAAAATGTACATTTCCGTAATTTTTTACGTAAAAAATGTCTCTTGATCAAAATCGCTACGAGTAGTAAAGTACCGAAAATAATAAAGAGCATATTTTTAAATATTACCTTTATTTTTTGGTTTATAATACCAAATGGTTACCAATAAATTAAGAATAATTTAATTTAAGAATAAGTTCTATAAACCGTTAACGGAACTTTTATTTTTGAACTTGATTTTTTTCTTTATATATTGAACGTTCTTTCTTATCTTATAAGAATAAACTCTAATCTAGGTACCTACTTCGGTTCGCCCCTTTGTAGTTATTCTATCGACAACTGAGGTGTACCGAAAAATAGAACTTTGCTGACTTTTTGTAAGTTTTTTCCTTGTTATACATATAGTTATTTATACCCATACTATATTTATTAAATAATTACATTTTTCTATAAAAAAAATTCTGTATTGATATTGAGACCAGGGTTCAACAAAATCCGCCTTATCTGAATTATTTTTGTGTTTTTTCTGTTGAAATATTAAATATTCATTTTTATTTCTCGAAAAACGAGATACAAAACAATGATTCCCCTCAATGGACACGTTTTTTTGTAAATTAACGCTTGAAACATTTGCTAAAACTGTTTTTGCTTATTATCTCGAAACAAGGTGTTTGGGGCGGGTTTTGCAACTTATATTAACACACTCAAATATTGATGTTTTATTTTTTTAATTTTCTTAAAATACTGTCGGTCAATCTGCACGCCACTGGAAATTAACGACCTCAACCGTCTAATCTTTGTAAACAACTACATTGTTGCCGTAGCACCGATACCCTATTCCCTTCTTTGTCCATTCTCTTTCGCACTCGTTAATTTTCGCAAACCAATGTGTGATGAAGTTTTAGAGCATTTTATGAATGGATCGTTGTATCTCCCGAGTTTAAATATCTTTGGTTATTTAACTGAAATGATAAATTTGGGAATTTTTTTATTGTTTGAAATTAATCATAAATTTTTGTTCAAAAAAATGATGATAAAATAGATAAAATCATTTCAAGTTTATGATTTCAGTCTAATAACTATTTAGTCAACATATTTAATTTATGTATGTCAATGATGACAGGTATTATTATATATATTCCAAATATCTCGAGAACCATTACTCGTAGCCATTTTTACCAAGAGACATTTTTTACGTAAAAAATGCCGTAAATGTATATTTTTTACTCAGTAGTTTTATACAGGTACGGACGAAAAGTTATTCTCTTCAAACCAGTAAAAAAATATATAGGTGGCGCCCTCTACTTATATCAAAGCAGTTTCGGAAGAGTTACTAGTTAATTATTACGAAGGAAAGCCATTACAAAATAACCAGCTGCTATCGAATTTTAGCTGTGATATCAGGTAAAAACAAAATACGTTTAATGCTACTAGCTGTAAGGAATTTTCTTGGAATATTTAGAGCTACCTGTGATTCGCATGGCGTTGGGTTTATTGTCCATTCGCAGCTTGGGCGCGACATTTTTCCTTTCTTTGCTTCGACTCTTACGGCGCGACGACATTTTTGCGAAAGCTATAAAATTTCAGTCCGAGAAAATTAAATACAGCCAAACTATATCAGGGCATGTTGCATAAATGGCTTATTGTATTTTGACCACGTTATTTTAATCTCCAAGAGCAAAAAATAGAGATAAAACCATTTATTAATTATTGTATTTTTTCCTTTGTTGAGAACTTTTTGTAACACCATGTAAATATTGTGTAGGGTTTCCATAAGCTTGACTTTCATGCATCCGTTATCCGACGATACGATATTAACTTCGTTGGTTGATTTTAAAGACTTCTATTGGTTAGAAAATAACGCAGTTTTTAAATTTATTTCATTTTCATGCCTCCGTTCATCGGATGTACGATTTGCCTGTGATTGGTGTCATTTTATATTTTAATTTCCATAACGATTTCGCTGTTTTACTTATAGTCTGGAGCTAGCAACGTTTTCGAGAGAGCATTTTAAGAAAGCTGGGTTTTTAATATATCTTTTATTATCCTCTCCTGAACAGAGTGCAGACCGTCTGGCTGCCAGTAGACGTTGCGTTCACTACTGCGCATCATATTATTATTCAACATCTGTTTACTACTGCGCATCACAAATTCGCCCTGTATTTCAGGAACTAAGGGGGCTAGGACAATCATATCTGTAGCATATTTAGTTTCATAAAAATGTAGCAAAGTAATGTGAAAATCGCATCATTGTATCCCTACTCATAAACGAGAAATCCGATAAAATACACGAAAATGGGATATCCTGTACAGATGTGATGCGCAGTAGTCTACCGGCGCGGCAGCCAAAGGGCCCGCACTTTGGTCAAGAGAGCATAGCAAAAGATATGTATATTAAAGAACCAGCTTTCTTAAAATTCTCGTTTTCCCGACGTTGCTAGCTCTTGTACTATTATATTTTTTTATTAAGGTCAGATTAAATTTGTCAAAAAAGTGTCAAAACGTCAGTTATCCTACGATCTTTCTCCGTTAACGGGCTGGAGTAAAAAATTTACGGATGAAAAGTGACGCGAAAACGCTATGACCAATAAGGGCGCCGTCGAATCATCGTATCAACGGATGCATGAAAATCAACCTTAATTTTACATAACTATCTATTACAGTTCTAAAGTGTGTCCAACGAGCTAGGGAAGATTTCGACAGACGAAATCCAAAGAAAATGACAGATAAAACCATTTACCTGTAAAGGAAAACGACAGACACAACTGTCATTGTCATGGATCATCTCGTTGGACAAACTATAGTTAAAAAGCATCAATAATTTGCAGTTTTAAAACTTCGATACGTTTTAAATACAAAAATGAATTACTGTAAAAATTACTGCAATCTCCAAACTAAATTAATATTGATTCTATCTCTACGGATAGTTAAATAGTCAACGATTATGACACACTATGGCAAGTAGAATAAAAAAATATTGAAATGATAAAGAAGGTCAAAATACAAGAAACCAAGCATTCAACATATTCTTTTAAATAATCCCATTTGTATATTTTGAACATCAAGAATCTTTCAAAAATTCTCTCAAATTAGTAGTAAATATGTATATGATAAAATCAAAGATTAGTTGAAACTACATTGTATTATTGTATTCAAATTGATTAAAAATATTTCTTATTGTCATTCAAATAACTAATTTTAAACAACAACAATGTTTTTAATCCCTTACATAATTTAATACATTGTAGGATTATAATCCCACCAAATATTTACAAAATTACATAAATATTCCAATGAAATATAGCGCTTATCACATAATTTTTCCCCAATATATTGTAGAAAATGTATTATAAAATTTTATAAAATAAGAAATTTTGGACATTGGATACTCTATGACAAGTAAAATAAAAAAATGTTTTTAATGTCCAAAATTCCATAGATATTGGAGGTTTGTATAGTATACAGAGTTGTTACTTTAACTAGACAAACTTTGACAGACAATGAAATACAAATTCCGAGTTAAAAAACTTTTAACTAAAAATTATTTATACCGGGTGTTTCAAAAAAAGATGTGCCAGCGTTCAATCTCGAGGTCTCGAGGTAAAAATAAGACTTATTTTTTATATCGACATAGGTCCGATTCTGCTTTGTTTCGTAGCTGTAAGGAATCAAGTCTTCATTTTTTTTTCGATTTATTATAATTTTTCTCTAAGTGCTTGTGCAAAATTGCGTTTATCTCATCAAGTAGACCGAAATTAACAAAATATCAAAAGACAACTTTTAATTGGCATTGTAACAGGGTGAAACAGGAAGTGATCGAAAACAATTGAATATGTCAATAAATCCTAATTTATGTCATATACGGTATGATCGAATAAAAACGGCGTCAGCGATGGCTATGAAATGAAGATCGCTGTCATTTTATATGTAATTTATATGGGAAATGTCATCGATTGTGATTTCATAGCCATCGCTGACGCCGTTTTTATTCGATCATACGGTACTAACATACCTACCAAATCTCGTTTTTTTATACGAAAAAATAAAAAAGTTATAGGCGTGAGCCACTTTTGAGGCGCACTCGGTATACCGGGTGCGTCTCACAAGTGGCTCACCCCTATAATTTTTTTATCTTTTCAGTTAAAAAATTGAGAATTGGTATGTTGGTATATTATGACATAAATTAGGATTGATTGACGGTATTCAATTGTTTTTGGTCACTTCCTGTTTCACCGGAAATGACTACAACTTTTGATTTTTAAATGGTACCCTCGGTATTTTTTGACTTTATTCGATAGAAAATGGCATTCTGAACAGAATGACATATCATATGTCACCTTTGACATTCTCGCTTAATAAAAAATCGTATTTTAAAATTCAATCTAGAGTGCCAAGGCTATGTTAAAACCACTAATTCTTAATCTAGGAGCCTTGGAAAAATAAATTTGATCGTCTAATGTTTTTAGTGTCTTGTCCTGGCCAGTTAGAAAATGCTCAAATCGTATTTTTAATCATATCTCAATTTTTTCAAATGGAATGAGGGTGGCTCATTAGCATATTTGGAAAAAGCATTTTTTTATGAATAATTTGATACCACACACTTGGTATTTCGAGTCAAATTTTCGTTACGAACCGCAAGTTATAATTTCAAATAAACCATATGCGAAAATTTCAAAAGTTGAAATATTATCTGTCATTCAATTCAGAGTGTTATTTTCTATCGAATAAGGTAAAAAAATACCGAGGGTGCTTTTTAAAAATCAAAAGTTGTAGTGATTTCCGGTGAAACAGGAAGTGACCGAAAACAATTGAATACGTCAATCAATCCTGATTTATGTCATATACTAACATACCAAATCTCGTTTTTTTAACTGAAAAAATAAAAAAGTTATAGGGGTGAGCCACTTTTGAGACGCATCCGGTATGTATTTCCCTTGTGAATATGTCGACAAGTTTTACCCTCAAAATTTCATTTAAACTGCTAAAAGCGCTTGGAAGAAAATCATAATAAATCGAAAAAAAAATGAAGACTAACCATATAGTAGCTGCGAAACAAAGCAGAATAGGTTCTAGGTCCTCTATATTGATATAAAAAATAAATCTTATTTTTACATCAGGTATTTCTCCACCAGAGATATATTTTGAAACACCCTGTATTATTAGTTGTATAGTTAAAGATCACACTGCATAAAAAATGGTGGTAATATACTCAATAGTGTAATATATTTCACCCAAAAAATTACTGAAACAAATACCTCAATCCATCGAATCAAATAGTGCGAAAACACAGGCCATATGTGGAAATTTTCTCTATAAAATTTTCTTGGTGAAATCCATTGACATCACTAGCCCGAAAAACGTTTCGAATATTTTCCGCGTTATCGCGATTCAGGGCAAAAAATCCCTTAAAAGACGTGTCTGTGATGAAATGTTTGTATGGCCGTAAAATGCGATAGTACCAAAAAACAATGGTCTAAAGTACTTAGCCGGGCCACCATGATGAAACCTCAATAGTACTACATGTAAAAAATATTAAAAAGTACCATAGATTAAGTGTATAACATAGTTGGGCCAGAGAGAGAATATATTTTTTTGACAAACGATAAATGACGAAAAAAGTCAGACAGCTGTCACTGTAAAATTCTTTCCCTAGACAGGACTATGGAAATTTACTGAATCTACAGCCTGACAAATGGCTAGGAAATAAAAAATCGGTAAAAAAACTTTTAAGTTAAACGGTTTTATCTTATATGCACTGAAAACTAGAAAATAATAATAACAATTAGGTATTTTGAACTTCTAGTTCAGAAATATTTTAGTACTAGGCAGAATAGCTTTTAGGCATATTAGACTAAAATAAAAACGTGGGGCCCCTCTGAAATCCTACCTATGGCAAAGCATATGGCTGGTTATTGATTGTCAAAATCTCCAGTTACGATTATAGTAAGTTGATGCAATCCACACTTAGTATAGAAGAAAGTATTACAGCAATAGTTAATGGGCCCCACGTTTTTATTTTAGTCTAATATGCCTCAAAGCTATTCTGCCTAGTACTAAAATATTTCTGAACTAGAAGTTCAAAATACCTAATTGTTATTATAGGTATATTATATATTTATAGGCAGAATGAAGATCCATTTGTCAGATAATAGACCATTTTTAAAATTTCAAATTAATTAAACTGACACAACAGCTGCGACTGTCAAATTCTCTCAATGGACAAACTATACAATGCAATAATTGATGTTTCTAGATTGCATTTGACAACAAAAATGTCTATTTCAATGAAACCAAATAATAATATACCAAAGTATTCATAGTAACCTGTTAAGTGCTTTGTATACTTATCCAACCAATTTAACAACTCTTCTCTTGTCACGAAGTACCGAAAATCGTATTAAACGAAGACCAAAAAGGTCCATACGCGTTATTTCTTGCGTAAATACAAACCATCGACGATTACAAACCCTGCGAAGGGTTTACCGACGATATTCGTCTTACATACACCATATTTTTTACGAAAATACAGAACATCGACATTGAACGTTTACACACCCTGCGACGGGTGTACCGACGTTATTTTTTAGCGTAAACTCGACGAGAGGATATCAATCAAATCAAAAACCAAATAGTTTACGTAGATTCATCATCGTCTGATCTGAACCCTGTCAGAAAGGAAAACCTTTTCATTCATTTTTCTGCGACGAAAAAAGAATAACACGGCGCGACGTTTCGATTTCGAGCTTCCCTGATAAGGGGTGCAAAACATGCCGAAAACTTTTGGCAATGACGATGCCGCTGCGACGTCCATCGTTGCCAAGCGGGGCGTGTCGCACGTAATGAAAGGAACGGTAAAAGTTTTTCATTTTTACGTAACGTCGCTACGGAAACATGTTCCCCAATCGGATTTCCGCGATTTTTCCAACGATTATGGCCGAAATTCGACGGAAAATTCAACGAAATAATTCGCGACGTCTCGAATACTGCCAGCGGGTTTGTCGAGACATCGGCGTTCGAGTCCATATTTGTCTATCGTCGAACTGTAAAATCAATACACCAAAAACTTAACACTAAAAGGAGACACTTACGTTTCGTTAAACTGTACAAAACTCGCCTCGACGTACGCAGTCAGGGCACTGCTCAATTCGTATAAAGATTTTTGTTAATTAAATGCTATTATTTTTGAGAAAATTACGAAAAAACTTCACAAAGGGATCTCGAAATGCGGACGAAAACGAACGTCCGGAAAAGATGGCTACGCACGCGTCATAACAAGCCTGAAGTTGGATACGATTAACTGTCAATTTCTGTAGGCAGGGGATAAAGTATCGATATTATATTTTTCGATACGTCTCGTCCTTTGCAGAAACTATAGTTCTTATCACGTAACTTTTCCCGATATGACAATGGACCAATCAAATTACTCTCTATAAATATTGTAATATTTATAGATATCTAGAGACCGCTTGTATATAGATATCTAAATAACGCTTGGGACAATAATTGTATAATTGCTTTTACCTACCCATTTGTTTTGTTAGGTGCCATCTTATTCTTCTAAGAACTTGACTACTATTCGTCACCACCAATTTTAACAATTAAATAATAAACAAAGGATAGAAAAAAAACTTCGTTACTTCTTAATTAACAAAATATAAATAAAAATATAATGAAATGAAACACAATATAATTTTATGTGTACATTTTATTAAAACAAATTACGATCTTGGTCTTTCCTTCTTTTCCTTATATAAAGCTAACAACGATACATTGGCTACCTTGACAACCTGCAACAAAAATACATAAATTAGAAACCTCTTATAATTTATTATTAAGATATCAATAGAGTATTTAAAATCAGATAAAAATATTTGTTATAATCAGGCTAAAACTCATGGGATTGGCTCTGAAATTTTTCATCATAAAATAAATTTAACTACTCATTAGCCCCCCATACACCAACATACTATGGTTATTACATATTATGGCTCTTTTAACAGTAAAATACTAGACAAAAATCATTAGATGGCTTTGATAAAAATTGACAGTAGAAAAACCCATATGTAAAATAATACCGCGATTATCTGCGAAGCCTTTGAAAATTTTAAAATACCTTATTAAAAGTGTTCATTTTTAATTCTCAATCAAACAAAAAATAACAAACAGGGTGTTCCATCTAAAAAACACAGAGATATTATTTTATACTTATATATTATTTATTCAAAACTCTAACTATCAAAACATATTTAATATCTTAGGACTATTTAAAGTAATTAAAAAGGAGATCAAAAATGCAATAATATACAGTGGGTTTAATTTTTAAAAATCATCCCAATCCACTCACTTTTTTAAGCCACCCTGTAAAAGTTAAAATATTTTCCTGAAATATAACCTAGTATATATGTACTTTAGATCTGCACGTATAAATTCCCAAGTTTGTTTTATTATAAGAGCTACAGATGCCCGACGAACTGACACAGGACCCTGTATACTCTGTCTAATGAGAGAACAACTGTCACTGTCATTTGTTACATACCTTAAATCTGACTCCGGGAATATCACCGACGGCGTGACCTTTCCTACCGAATCCGGCGACTAAAACTTCATCGTTTTCTTCGATGTGGTTCAAGCAACCGTCCCTGGGCACGAACGCGGTGATTTTCTTTCCGTTCTTGATCAGCTGTACCCTCACGCACTTGCGGATGGCAGAGTTGGGTTGTTTGGCTTCAACGCCTCTGTAACATAACCCTCAAATAAATATAAATCAAAGTACACAAGATGTGAATGAAAGTTTACACCATCATAAGATCAATAAAAACTAGGGCTTCTTAAACAACACACCATTAACACAAATTATACAACTTAAAACTATATCTAAATATGATTTAAAGTTAATTTGATGACTCACATCTATTCTTGTACCAGGCAAATCTTAATTTACAATAAAAATGACATAAGTATTAATGACAAATTTCTATAAACAAAATATTGACAAATGCACTATGAATTTAGTATTACAATACCTATTATTATTATAAAAACAATAAACTATATACCAAACATTTTTGTAGATGTAATTTATGTAACGCACAGAATTCTCCTGTGATTGGAGTATCAGATTCAACCATTCACAGGGAATCCTGCGAGACACATAAATCATAACTTATCGTTGACTGTTTGTAGAGTTCATATCAGAGTGGTTAGCCAATTGAGGCAGCTACCCAATGGTTCAGAACACTTGTTTTTATTTTGCATCGATATAAAACGGAAGTTATGAATAAACAACAGCTTCCATATCAGTGTTATACAATGCATTTTGCGGTTGTGATCAAATTCCTTCATGATAAAATTATGTTTGTACTTACACTTTTTCTAGGACGATTCCTTTAGCGTGGGAAGCACCTCCGAAAGGATTGGCCTTCCATCTAGTTCCTAAATGAGCTTTTTTATAGTCTTTATCAGCCCATCGCTGATCTCTCCTGTGGTTAACGTGTTTTCTGGCGGTTTTTAATCCACGGGGTTTACCTATAAAAAATTTCAATTCAATTAAGAAATTAAAAAAATACATACAATTAATGAAAAACATACTAACAAGGATCGTTTTACAACTAATTACTAGACGAAAGGATATTTATATTTTTAGATGATTGAAGATGAAATAATTCTGTATATGAAATTTGGTTAAGTTCAGTGTACTCGCCTGAACTAAAAACAAACACAGAAAATCCGTATTTGTTGGAAAACTGGTAAAAACTATATGAAGCAAAATTGAGCTATTTTTTAACTAGTCAGTAAAAATAATTTCCTTAAAAATCGATATTTACCATAAATTTCTTTAAAAAACTAAATGAACCACACTCACCCATGTTGATGACAATTTGTCTTGACCGGAAAAGGACTGTCAAGATTCCAATGAGACCAACATTAATATTCAAAACATTTTTCTAGCTTCATTCATGGTTGCCAATAGTAAATAATAAAATAATATTTAAAAATGTAATTTAGTAATAAATAATGCTTTAATCTAGAGGAAAAGAATTAATTAAAAGAAATGAGGTAAAGTATTGTATAAAAACTAATAAATGTATGGTATTTATTGTAGAAATATAAACTGGTGAATCCTAGGGTACATCCGTCATATAAAAATAATGCGACTGTTAATAAAGCTCACAAAATACAAAAGAAGAAAAGTGACAGACGTAGAAGATAGTTTTGATAAATTGAGTGAAAAATATGGAAATGTCATTGTCATTGTTGACAAATAATGTTTGAAAGTTTATAAAATTGTAGTGACGAAATGTTTTTTCCTTAAAGTTTTAATAGATTATTGATGGAATCATTAATGTTCTAAAAACAATTAAAATATTTCACCGAAATCTGGTCGGAGTAGTTATGACTAGTTCTATAATGCAGACCTCGTATATTCATTGAAGGTTATCAAAGAAAACAAGGTATGAAATAATAAACTTGATACAAGATATTTTAATCCTTAAATAGATGAGTAATTTCTTTTAAGACGTAGGCATATAAATCTAAATAAAGGTAATTATCTATATTAATGTTTATGGGATTCTTATACAGTAGATTTATGACAAAGCTACATTCTATATTTTTATCTTTTCTTGAATTATTATTTTATAGGTTTAAAAGAAATATGGCGAATACATATGTGGACGAAATAAAAGTAAAGATATCCGAGAAATATAAACCACCCTTTAGAATCAGCATGCCAATGAGTTATTCTCAAAGATTAACAATAAATAAGCAAATGCAAGATAACAGGCCTACATACAATTTCCATTTAGAACGAACCGTTTTAGATAAAGTAAGAGAATGGAAAGATACAAGGAAAAACTTGGTAAGTTTTTTTGGAAATTAACAATTTACTGTGTTTTTCCTTATTATAATCAAATAATGTTAATTTATAGACTGAGGAGAGAAAAGATCGATTGGAATTAGCTAAAAAGGAATTTGAGAATAGGATTCAAGAAGAAAAGCTTGATAGAATTGAACAAGAACAGGCTCAGGCTAGGATTTTAGAAGATACAACAAAAAATGCTAGTATAGATCAATCTGTTACATCACATTTACAGAAGACACACGAAAATTTTACACAACCCCATAATTCAATTCAACATCAACCAAGTTTTATATCTAGTAATGGAATTCTAATGCCAACACCTTACCTAAGCAATCCATCGAATGCCAATATACTAAAACCCATGCCTTTACAAAACACTAATTTTGAATCAAACACACAAAGGAATGTAAAACCTTTCAATTTATCTGATTTTGAATCTGATACATCTAGTCCTTTTGATAATATGGAATTAAAATCTATAAATGATTTGGAAGAGTTAGCCCAAGTGCTTAAAAGTGAACAGAATACATTTCAAAGGAATTTGTATCCTAGTAGTAATGCAGGAATGACTGCGAGAAATTATAGTCAAATAGGTTCATCGAATAATAAAAATTTTAGTAGTTATCCACAAGTTTCAACTAATTCATCTTGTTACAAGAGAAATGGTGTTATTTCATATGAGTCACAACCTTATGGACAAGATTCTAGCAATTATAATCCGTTATTAAGCTCGTACAGTCAAATCAATAGTAATATTCCTAATTTCAATCAGTATAATGCTGTGTACAATCCACAAACTACGTCATATCTTCCTAACACAACATCAGCTTATAATTTTAATGGTTACGCATATAAAGAACCAGAATCGGTCTCTAGGCACTCTGTGATGAGTTATGGTCAAACTAGTTCAGTGGGATCGCAAGCGAATCTTCAAAATACAAGCTGTAAAAGTGTCCCAGATTTAGTAAAATCCCTAGAAAAAGAATTGGAGAATTCTCATTTGAACGATGCTACTGCCACTGCCTCTGATAGACCCGAAATAAGATCTAAACCTCATTTTTATACGACTAACAATGTTCAGTTACCGGTTAGACCTAAAAGTACGGACGCAGTGTATCCTAAGGCTAAAAATAGAGATGAGATTTTTAATCCTTATAATAAGTTGTCGACTGAACAGAGGGATTTGTGTAAAGGTGTGAGCATGATGGGTTTTCCTTTGGACAGGGTGGCTAGGGTGTGCCTAATTATAGGAAATGATCAGAAAAAGGTAAGTTTGTTAGGTTATTTATATTGTTATATTTGTTGTACTCTTGTTGTAACTTCATTCAAACATATAATTAAAAAATAGAGTAGAGTTATCTAATAAAATTTTATACAGGGTCCGGCAATAGTACATCGGGCATCTGTAGCTTCTAGAATAAAAACTGGGGAATTTTGTTTAAGTGCAGACCTAAAGTATGTATTAGGATGTATTTCAGGAAAATATTTTAACTTCTACAGGGTGGCTCAAAAAAGTGTGAGTGGATTGGGATGATTTTTTTTAAATGGAACACCCTGCATATTATTGCGTTTTTGGCTTCCTTTCAGATCACTTTACATAATCCTAAGACACGAGTAAATATATTTCGATAATTTCAGAGATATTAATAAATAAATAAAAATCATATATTTTTCAGCATTTCTTAAAAAAATTAATAATACAAGAACTGTCCTTAAATCAAAACTATATTAGGTTTTTACTTTAGATGGCCTATAGGTACTTACTTTGCTATAAATATGGAAATCGTAAATTATACAGGATGTTCAAAATTCTACGCCAAACTTTCTAAAATATAAAATAATTTTTCTTTATTTTTTTAAATGGAACACCCTTTATATTATCTTCTCAATAGATGGAGAATTAAAAAATGAACATTTTTTTTATTTGGAGTATTTGAAAATTTTTAACGGTTTCGCAGATATTCGTGGTTTTATATTTCATATGGCATTTTCCACAGTAAATTTTTCTGAAAGCCATCCAATGATTTATCTCTTGTATTACCATTGAAAGCGCGATATGAAATAATACTGCGTGTATTTGCAAAACTATTAAAAATTTTGTATTACTTTAAATACAAAAGGTGTTCATTTTTTATCTCTCCATCTAATAAAAAATAATATACAGGGTGTTCCATTTAAAAAAACAAAGAAAAAATATTTTATATTTTAGAAAGTTTGGCGTAGAATATTGAACATCCTGTATGATTTACGATTACCATGTTTATAGCAAACTAAAAACAGACCATCTAAAGTAAATACCTAATATAGTTTTGATTTCCGAACAGTTCTTGTATTTTTATTTTTTTTAAGAAGGGCTAAAAAATATATATTTTTGGTTTATTTTTTAATATCTCGGAAACTATCGAAATATATTTACTCATATTTTAGGATTATGTGAAGTGAACTGAAAGGAAGCCAAAAACGCAATAATATACAGGGTATTCTATTAAAAAAATCATCCAGATCCGCTCACACTTTTTTGAGCCACCCTATAGAAGTTAAAATATTTTCCTGAGATATATCCTGGTACATACTTTAGGTTTGCACTTACACAAAATTCTCAATTTTTTATTCTAAGAGCTACAGATGCCCGACGCACTATTGCTGGACCCTGTATAAAATGTCGACCGTCATTTCTAAAGTAACTTGACGCCGTTTTTTTTGTAGTGTTCAAAAAGTGAATATACCTATAGAGTTACAGCTGTATGTCATTTTTTTCAAAAAAAAAAAAGTTAGACTGAAGATTTTTTAGATGTCGTCTGTCGAAATCTTCTCTTCTCTCCAGACTGTTGACCTCGTAAATTTATCTATTTTTCTTGATTTTATATATTGATTAGCGAGCGACTTTTCTGATTACAATTATTATAATCGGATTTCTAACATTAGAAGTGGGATATTATCCCATAATAAACTGTCACTGTCAGGGATCTTCCTGATACATAATATTTTTTTTTCTGTTTTTCAGATTGTTGACCACCTGCTAGCGCTGTCCGACCTGTTGGACCTAGGTTTTTCCGAAAGTTCCGCGTCTGAGGCTTTGGTAAAGAACAATAACGACAGGGACAAAGCGCTGGATCTGCTCATTTCATAAGGAAACGGTTCGAGGTTTCGTTTATTTTCTCTGGCTGTGGCGTAATGTGTATTAAATAGTAAATATATTTATTTTTTGTTCGTCGATATTTGCGTTCGATATTCTTTTTTTTTTCTAATGGACCCATCCATCTATTGTCTGATTTATGTAAAGCGGTCCACACAAGTCCAACTTGGTTGCGCCAACTGTCGGGCCAACGAAATGTGACCTTTTGTACATCTTTTATATTTAATGTCAAATAAGGAATTAAAAATAGAGTAATGGATGGGTCCATTCTAGATGGTTTAAGAGGCGATAAGAAAAGTCATTTTTTCAAATTTATAATTATTTGAGAATTTTTTTAATGTAGACAGAACAATTTAAGAAATCAGATTAAATAAGAATAAGGGCTCGAACTCACTGGCGACTAGGTCGCAACGACCTGGCCGTCGGCTGGTGGGATGCATTGCGTTTATAGTTGCGGCCAGATGAACGACCAGTTTCAACAGAGTTGTCAGATCTAACGATTTTTTTTTACGTTTTACTTATTAGTTTCAGAAATGTTAAAATATCCGAGTTAACTAAAAAGCGAAGTTGCTAGTCATGAGCTTATTAAATGTTCTTATATTAAATAATGCATTTAAAATATTCTTGGATTTTTCGTTAATAAATACTTAACTGGTGTGGTATGGAGTAAATAAAATCTCCAACCCCGACTACGATAACGTCGTTATTTCCATATTTTTCAAATCCGCGATGCCTGCTATTCCATCAGTCGTTTCATAACAGAATATTCTACATCCTACGTCTATGTAATTTAATGTGTAGAGTGAGACATGAACTCGTGAGATTTTCAGCATTATATCAATAAAGGACAAAAACAGTGTTGTTCCTAAAGGTGCGTCCAGACTTGAGCATTTTAGCCCGAACGAACCGAGCGCGCACGAACAAGCAGAACAAATAGGCCGAACAAAAAGCATTGTGTACGCGCGATCGACAAAAAGGGAGATATTCTGTTTCTTTTTTCTACTGATCTGGACTTCTACTGATGGCACTTATCGCAAACATATTAGGGCCATCGTGAAAAAAGGTCGTCAGACACAGGCTCTAAATATAAGCAGGTAGAAAGTTTAGCTTCCAGTTATTTCAATGTTTACAATATAAATTCCTCTTTTTGATTGTTACTGAGAATCTACAACAGTAAATACTTCTATTTTTATGAATGTTTAAGTTACTTTTACTCTTAATTTTTTTAAAAATAATAGTCTAATGGACCCTGTTTGAAAAACGTTTATTTAAATATAATATTTAAAATACAGTTGTCCTCCTTGTACATGACTACAATACAACTAAAAAACTAATTTAAAAAAAACAAGTGGTCGTAGAAAAACTTTAAATATGATTTTTTTTTTATTTTTTAACATCGAAACTCGAAGGTATAATAACAGGTATCATACCAACCATAAATAGAGTAGGTCATATAAAAATGTTTTGAATTTTTAATAGAATCGACCCTTGATAAAAAAAAGGGACTAGATTTAGGTTTCCCTTTGATCCAGTCTGTATACTATTTCTTTGGATTTTCTGCACGTGTGCAAAAACTACACTATAACACTATATCTTATAGAAAATAAAATATTGTGCGTTGAATTTGAGGGGTTTCATCTGAAAAATTATTAATTTGGAAGAAAACCGGCAACAAGCGGCAGAAAATAATATTTTAGTGCAGTCTACTGGTCGCAATGAACAACGGAGGGCCAGGACGTTAGTGTGCGCTGTATAATAATAATAATAATAATAAATGGTCTTTATTAATAATTAATCAATTACAATAATGTATTAATTAATTACATAGGCGAAGTCTAGCTCACAGATACATTCATACTTAACCTAATCAATACATTTATAATATGCATAATAAGAAAAGAAACATAAATTCGAAAATAATGTCCAGAAGAAAATAAAAATAAAATGAGCAATAAATGTGGCTCGATTGTATGGACCAATACGTTTTAACAAACACAAAAAATTTAAAAAGTAAACAATCAAACAAAAAATATCACAATAATTATCCTAAGCTTGGGGTCTGTTGTTCCAGCAATAAATAGTTTTTCAGACTTGATTTAAATTTAAATGATAACATAGAAAAAACAAAGTTTGAATATCTTTTCTTAAATTATTAAAAATACATACAGAGTTGTAAGTAAACGATTTCCGAAACATGGCCGTTTTGTGATTTGGCATAGTAAGCATTTTTTTGTGTCTTATATTTAAATCATGCATTGAATTTCTAAAATTTAATTTTCTGAAAAGATCAAAAGGAAGTGTAGTATCTACAATATTCTTAACGGAGGTCAATATTCTTAATTTAAATAATTTATTTAGTTTTAGCCATTTGAGTGTCTCAAAAGCTGAGGAAATGTGATCATACTTTCGTTTATTTAGTATCAGACGACAGCAGTTGTTCTGAATCCTCTGTAGTCCATAAGCATCAATTGAACTGAGGCATGGAAAATATACCATACTGCAATATTGCAACTTTGAGAGTACGAGACTCTGACATAACGTTTTTTTCATGTTATATGTCAATATATGCTTCTGGGAATACAGAAGCTTCAAACTCAAATAACATTTTCGCTAACTGAGTAACATGGTTTGAGAATTTAAAACTTTCGTCTATACACAATCCTAAATTTTTAACAGATTCTACATTTTCTATAGGCTGATCATTTATATAAAGTTTTATTTTTGATTTCAAATAAATTCGATACTTTTTGGATCCAAATATTATTGTTTTTGACTTGGTTGGATTTAAACGCAAATTATGATTTCTAGCAAAATTGAGGACTCTCTCTAAATCTGCATTAATGTCTATGACTGTTTGTTCATATTCTTTACACTTAAAATGGCTGTATATTTGTGTGTCATCGGCAAAACACTTTATGTGAGATGTCTTTATTACATTTGGCAGATCAATAGTGTAAATCAAAAACAATAATGGGCCCAATACTGAGCCCTGAGGGACACCAGAGGATATACAGAGATTTTCAGAGAATTCATTATTTATAGTAACTCTCTGGCTTCGATCTTCCAAGTAGGATTTCAAAAAATTCGCCGAAACATTGTCAAAGCCCCAATATATTTACATTTTTCAACCAACAACGCATGATTCACGGTGTCAAAAGTCTTGCTGAAGTCCAATAGCACAAGAACAGTTGCTAAACCGTCATCACATGCTCGAAAAACATCATCAGATAATGCCAATAATAAAGTTTCTGTACTTTGACCTTTTCTAAACGCCGATTGTTCTTTCGGTAGCAAGTTTGCATCATTTAAATAATTTATTATTTGGCTATACACAATCTTTTCCAAGATTTTCGATAAGATTGGCAATAAACTAATTGGTCGCAAGTCATCATATCTTGATGGGTTTACAGTTGTTGGTAGAGGAATGACTAATGCCTCTTTCCATATTTGTGGAAAAAATCCAATTTCTAAGCAACTATTAATAATATGACATGTATTTATCAATGCTGGATAGGCACATTTTTACCATTTGTAAACTTAAACCATCAAAACCTTTTGCATTTGATTTTATACTATTTATAATTTTAATTATTTCAGGCACATCTATAAGTTTAAAATTGAAAGACAAATTTTCATTAAATTTATGGTTGCTATAAAAATATTGTGTTGGCTGCTTGGGAAAATATAATTTTCGAAACAATGGATAAAGGAGACTTCTATTCTCCAGAACAAACAGAGAAACAAATCTGCAATAGAAAACACCGTAAACCATTTTGTAGATTTTCTTTTTGGTTACAAGTAACCAAGAACTTGGTTCTTTTTTAAAATTAATAACAGTACTCCGGTATTTCTTAAAAAATAATTATGTGCCAAATGTTTATTAAAATGTGTAAAGTTTGAAGCTATGTTTTGTCAATTTGTTCTTGTACTCATCTTAAATCAATTTTGTCATAAATTGTGGATACATTTTTCTTGATAGCTCAACAAAGAGAGATAGAGCTCGCTCATACGTTAGAAGGCAATATCTCAAAATCACAGTTTGGCGCTTGGGTCCTTTTCGATTAACATTATCCAATTGTTATCAGAAGCAAGGTCACCTAGTATAACCATATTTTGGATTGCATTATACAATGGGTCGCTGATTTGTATGGAAACGGTCGATTATTGTGTAAAATATATGAGGTACCGCAAAAAGTTAAATACAAAAGTTATAGAGTTTTTAAATGTCTATTGGCGAGTAATAAATTTAAGTATACAGGGTCGGTCATAAATTCGTGGCACATCAAAGTTTCATCTTTTTAAATGGAACCCCCTGTATATTATTGCATATTTCAATTCTTCCTTCAATTCCAAGCAAAAATTGATATACACACAATGTACCTCAAACCAACCGTTTCCTAGTTATTGACTTTTGAAAATATCACTTAAACAATTTGATTTAATTAATTTCGATATGTTCAGTTTCATTTAACGATGCCATTCTGCGGAAACTGTGATACTTAATAATATCTGACATTAGTTTTCAAGTTAACATTTATAGATGTATAAAATGAGATTATATCAAGTCTGGAAATCACAAAATTTTCGTTTAACATTTACCAAACGTTTAACAAAACCAAAACTCGATAGTATCTCGGAAACGGTTGTATTTAGGTACATTATGTGTATTGCAATTTTTGCTTAAAATTGAAGGAAGGATTGAAATACCCATTAATATACAGGGGGTTTGATATGCCACGACTTTTTTTATGACCGACCTGTATACTTAAATTTATTACGAAATGTTAGGCATATAAACACCCTATAACTTTTGTATTTAACTTTTTGCGGAACTTGTATACTTTGCCCAATAATCGACCGTTTCCATACATATCAGCGACCCTATACAGGGTGTCCCAGAAATAAGTGCAAGTATTTTAACTGGTAGTATAGTTCAACGCCAGAAACACGCCTATAAGGTTTTTTTCGCGAAATTTTTTTTGGAAATTTTTTAGTTTTTAGTTAAAAAACATAATTTCTTGATAATATAACATAGGTATTAGATTAAATTTACAAGAAAGAAAATCCAGAAAAGATC